TTCACAGTCTTCTTTCAAACCATCTGTCTTCTCTGTCCAAAATGTGAACACTGGCGTCCTCTTTGTCCTTTAGGTGCAGATGGACAGCCGAGTCTTGTCCAGTCGAGGTGGCTCTTCTATGTTGTGCCATGAGTTTATGAATAGGGGGTACACTCCCATAAGGCTTAAAGTCTGGGACTCTCCACCAGTTGCTCTTAGAACTGAAAAAGCTTCTCGGATGAGAGGTCAAACGTCTGCAAGGAACTTAAAGAAGTCCAGACGCTTTCCAATCTCTTTAGAATGCCTGAATGACTGAGAACCTTCACAGAGATACAGATCAGAGAGTTTGACCCTCACATGAATATCAGTAACTGTGAGCATAGAAATTGAGATGGAAAACACTGAAAAGGCATGGTAAGACTTTACCTCGTAAAAATAAACGACACCCGCTGTTTGCAGTGACTACTTGTGGACTTTTATTTTGGTTTTGGTTCTTTGGATATAAATTCAAATCTTTCAAAAGATTCCCCTCTCCCTGCCAGTCATGTTCATTTTTCTCCTTCAGTTAATGGCAAAGATAGCAATGAAAACTTGGCAGTTGTTAAACCTTCTGATGACCGTATGTGTCACATGCACATGAACATGCAAACATGAACATGCAAACATTCACTTTGCGTGTGTAAAAAGGCCGGACGCTTATAAACTGGCCTCAATCCCACAGTTTCTATATACAAATACAGAGAAAAAGAAACGTCACTTTATATTTGAAGAAAATAATTTAATTAATCACTATATAGATGTTACGAATCTTGGTACGCTTGGTAATTTTCAAGAAAATTAAAGAAGTCCAGACGCTTTTCTTTCCAAGCTCCTTAGACTATGATGACCTGGATGACTGAGAGCCTTCACAGACACGCTTGGTAAAGTTCATCAAGATTGAAGCTGTCGTCTTAGAGGAGTTTGGGAACAAACACAAAGACATGAATACACTACGCTGCTATCATGATGGTAAGGAAAACGATAATAATGATAGAAGACTGGAAATAGTGCATGAAAAAAATGATAGAAAACTATAAGTTGCACTCCTTTGTATTTTTTCCTTCCTACTTCCTTCCACACTGCACTGCAGTTTCTCTGGAAACTACAAGCCTGGAAACATGAGCATCCATGCTGTTAATGTTAAGCTTTTCTGTAATGGCACTTTTTCTCTAATGGTTAAACTGGTTTCCGCACTCAAAGCATGTTCCTGCTTGAGTTCGCTGCTGGCTGGGTAAACATAAATATTGAATTTTAACAGATCTGAAACATTGCACTAACGCAAAGAGGCTAAAGCTAAAGCTGTATCCAGAGCAGAGAGCCAGCCACAAGCCAGCAGCCTTGATAAGAGCTAAAGGATCAAAGCAGTTATGGGGAAAATTAATAAGATGGGTGAAAAAATGTATTGAATTTAAAAATGTATTGGAAAATGGTGTAATATCTCAAATACCTGACATTTGTTTTGTTATATATAAATATGTTCCACTTGCTTTTGTTTGGTAAGATCAAATCTATCACACAAAGGTGGATGTACAGCAACCTTTTCAATGAATTATTGGCACCTCTTTATTTTCAGTTGTTTTACTGAAATAAGTAACAATTTGGGGAAATTTATAAGGTTTGATTTCTTTTAATTATTATTATGAAAATAAAGATTGAGGGTTGAAGAAAAGTTGATTTTGCTTTTCATATGCTGTTAGTTGTACTTGGATAGAAAACTGGAGTTGACAAAAAATCCCTATCACTAGCTTACACTGTAATCGGTGCATCTGCAGTATATTTATATATTTTTATATATTTTTTTCTCATACACCATTTAAAACCACTGGGACTAAAACTGAAAGAACAACACTAACATTGTCTTATCACAAGAATAACTTCATTTAGGCGTCACATTAACTTCACAGTATACACTACTGTAATTTTAGTCAGATCTTCTGGTGTCTTGGTAATGGGGCTTTGACATGGCTACTGATAAATCTATTAACAGACACAGTCATTTTTCTATATTGCTTTTAATGAATGCAGCCCTTTTGATATATGATATATGATATATGGTACATTATACAGCACTTTTCCCATCAGACTCATTCACAGATCACCACTTTGGATGCATCTATTCTTGCTTGTGTGGAATTCAGCCTATATTATGTATTACAGTTGGTGCTTCATTTAAAAAGCAGCTTTTGTATTTCTAGCCAGTCGGGTTATTTGAAAAGTGCCCCTAGCTGACTTGACGCCCCGGAAAAAAGTCGTAAAATATGCTCTCGATTCTATACATTTTAAATGACTGCAGCTAAACTTAGCACAAAGCATAATGTCATTATCAATAGTTGATGATGCACATAGAAAACATGGATATAAAGTAGATATATTCATTGTTTTCATGCAAGACAGAACTGTTAGTGTTAGAGTATGTTTAGAAAAAAAGTAACATCAGGCAGTTATTCAAAGATGCTAAAACTTCAAAACATGAAATCTCCCACACACCAAATATGTGTAGATTAAAACTAGATTATTACCGGTGTTAAGTCCTACACCCAAGAGTTCTGCCATTCAGTTAATAGCAAGGAAATTTAGTAGAGTCCAATTCCCTCCAAACACTTTAGATAAAAAGAATCACTGATCCAAAAGCAGAATGTTTGACAGTGTTTCTAATACATCTCTCTGCATATTTCACAAAATTACTGCATCATAGCTGCACAATGTTTCATCATAATATACCCATAATACTAAACCATGTAAAGTTTTAATATTCATTTGATAACACATTCCAAAAACAAGCTACAAGGATCAAACCGATCTGCATTTCCCTCATCAGCAGCACCTGTGCTCTGTCTCTTGCATATTTAAAACAGTATAAGGCATATATACATGCACATCAGAGAAACATTCCCTTATTCTGTCTCTATTACCTTGAAAGGTCATATTGATTCCTCAGTTTACAAGGCCAGCGCTCAACAGAAAGCAGCCTGAGATGTAAACAAAAGAAACAGCAGGAAGAAGCACTTCAACAAGTGGATGTCTCTTTTATTCTCCTTCTGTTCTCAGTTTTTTTGCTCCGTATTGTAAAAATGTGAATCTCTCTGGACTTTTTGGCTAAAGATATGCACTCCATCTTTTCCCCTTTATTGGAAAGGAGATCAGTTCATTGTCTTGTCTTCTTTCTCCCTCAGCCTCGCTTTCTCACGACTCTCCCTTCCTCCTGCCAACATACACAAACTGATAGCCAGCACACGCCTGGGGAATGAGCATGAAGTCCAGTATGTTTATTCAGTGGAGGCAGACCGCGTGATGATTGCCCCTGCACGAGCTACGTTCGGTGACATTCTGCGTACACGAGGAAGCATGCACACAGTAGACATGAGCGCAGACACCCACAACTAATCTACTGACCATTTACATAATCAGAACTTTGGGCCTGGCCACGTGCAGTATTTACAGAACCTAAACCAAAGCTAAGCACCAACATCACGACTTGTGCGAGCAGCAATCGATCTGAGCACCACTCAGCTTTAATCACAAGAGAAAAACCTCCCACTCAGGAGACACTTTAGCATCTGAAAAGCTTCTACCAAAATGTGATGCTAATTAGTTAACTTCGACACCTCGGAGAATTGAGTTTGTTTCTGCTGTGACTGTTTTAAAGCCTTACAAATACATCAAAGCAGCTGCATACTCTTCTTCATCAGTTTTTAATGAGCCTATGTAAAGATTTTTTGGAGTCACTGAGGGAGGGCATGCAAAATCAAACACAAGCAGAGGAATGCTCTGCAATAAGGTAAACCTGTCAAACAAAGACTGGACACGCTATCCCTATGATCTAGCTTTTTTCAGCTCTGGTGAAATGCTGACTAACTTGGCTTTGTATCAGCAGATCAGCATTGTAAAAAACAATGAGAGTAAATGAAAAATAAAAATTAATGTCATCACTTGCCTTTTGTTGCATTTTTCTCATTTCAGCTAAGTGTGGGAGTCTTTACTGTGTGCTGTGCTGCTGTTATTTCTGCTCATGCTAGTTTCTCCTCTCCCTGCTCTCACTGTGAGTGCAGCTCCTCACACAAAGGCAATGTGCGTGGGAAACGGAATTGACCAGCAACAAGTGAAGTGAAAGAGTAGTTATTTTGTTGATGGCAATAAATCTAACTAAAAGCCAATAAATCAAGCGCCCCAGGAAGTATTACATCACACATAATAACACAAGAGAGAAGAGCCAAGGAGAAGTGGACTGGTTTTTATATGGTGCTTTACAAAACATGCCTCATCACACAAGCACTTGTTTCTAAACCTAAATGCTTTTCAAAATTCACCATCTGATAGATGCATCAGAGGGCAACTTGTGGTTCAGTACTTTGCCCAAAAGTACACCACCATGCAGACGAAAGTAACAAGGAATCAAACCACCAACCTTCTGATTAGTAGATGACCTAAAACCTGAGATACAGCCACCCAAACCCACATGCAATGTGTCATCTTTAAGCTTTTCATGTGTATCAGCTCACTAAACCCCATTTGGTGGATAAATCAAAAACACTGACCAACATACATAGAACACCTCTTTCCTGCTAGCAAACAGGAAAGCTAACATAGCTAACATGTGGCAAAAAAAGAGAAAAATACATTGAAATTAACAGACTGGCTGCCTGTCACCTTTATGCTTTCTGGGACATCCTTACTAGATGGCACATCAGTGATCATACACATGAAACAATCCAGTCATTGGATGAATGGAAGTAGTATATGGAAAGAGGTAAAACTTGAAAATGTAAAATTAAAAGGATTGCCCATCCTACAAATATTTACCTGTAACCTCATCAAAGCTGCAGTAAACCAATAACAAGTACATCTTTAACTAAACTGGTTACAAACACTAAGCCATGATTGGACACTGCTCTTTGAGATCAGCAGATTTAAGTTTCAAAGTGAGAAAACTGTGACAACAATATCACAAAGCAGAGCAGCGCAGGTGGATTACGCTTTCTTACCTTTCTCCACTGTGGTGACTCCCATGGATGGCTGACCCAGACTCGCCTTTGTCTCCCATTTGCCCTCATCGGGGTGGTACATTTCCACAGAGGCCAGAGGGGTCTGCTGCTGATTCATTCCCCCAAGCACCATAACCTGGCCCCCTAGCACCACAGCTGAGGCCCCCGCCCGCGCAGTAGGCAGTGGAGGCAGTTGGCTCCACGTCTGGCTCTCTACATCCAGGACTTCAACGCTGTCCAGAGGCATGCCGGTCTCACTGCAGCCCCCGAGCACATAGACCAGGCCTTCGTGGTAAACAGGCGTGCAGTAGACGCGGCACTGCGACATGGAAGGGAACTGCTCCCAGTACAGAGACTTGACAGGACTCACCGCCATCTCCTGCACAGGCATGTCTCCAGGGCCGAGCGGAGGGGACGCACCATCACACACACACACCACACCGTAGAGGAGGTAGAGAGAGAGACAAGGAGGGCAAGCAGGAGAGGGCACGCAAAGGTGGAACGCAAGAAGTAGAAACAAGCAGAGTCACAAGCTTGTTTCTGTCTGTCTGAGTGACCACCTGAACTCCTGTGTCCACAGAGAGAGCGAGGATGACATGAGAGAAAAGAAAGATGGATGGGAGGGGGTGAAGAAGACAAGGATGTAGGTCAGTGAAAAGAGTGAAGTGAACAAGGAGAAAGGAGGAAAGCAGCAACGCGAGTCACTCACTCCTCAGCCAGATGTCACGACTCGCTCTCTACTCAAATGTTTTATTCATCCAGCTGTTGGTGTTTTCGAGCAGTGAAGCCATCTGCCCTTCAGTCTCCTTTATTCCTTCCTCTTCCAGCCCTCTTTTCTCCTTCACTGCTTCCTCCTGGGTGTTATTTTGGTTAAAGTTTCAGTCTCAGTATACTCCTGGGTGGGAAATGACATTTGAACAGGGGTTTCTGAGGGCCAAATATTTAATCCCACAATAATCTGAAAGTCAAGGGCTGAGAAATTTAAAAAAGAGAGGGAAAAAATGAAGCAGCGAGACGGGGCTCAAGGGGGAAGAGGGGTGAAAGGATAGTGACCTTTAATAATATGCTGACAATCCAAGAAAAAGCCTTTTTGGCGCCTTCAGTCGAGGGGCAATTATTCAGGGCTACCAGTGCCCCTCAGCTGTAGCTCTGTAGTTCTGTTTGCACCTTTGTGACAGAGCTCACAGCGAAGAAAAAATCCTTGCTCATGAACCAGAGTCTTTAAACAAGACTTTGTCACATTTCAAGAAAGAATGTTTTCTTTTGGTTAAACAAAAATTCCAAATCCTGGTGTCGAGCGCTGAGACTTGTCATCAGACACAAAGTGTGTGCTGAGAAGCTTCCTGGTAGCTTTGGAGAGGCCCAACCTGGAAGAAAAGACAGTGCAGGATTAGACATGCACTTGGTGGTATAAATTAAAAGCTAATATGATGACAAGCTTATAATTACAATATAATTCAGTGAGACCAATGTGAGAGGGAAAATTATCAAAGTACTGCATGGCAGAATGTATTTAAAGCCCTGTTTGTGCTGGTGTAAACAGCATACAGTATGTACAAATAGACAAAATAGAGAATAACAACTATTAACAAACAGCTGGAGTAATGGTAGTATAGTAATTATATGCTACCCATGTAAAGTTGGTAAGACCTGGCTAAAGCGTGCCTCTGGTGAAAGGTTTTAATCTTTCTGTTATTATTAAAGTAAGAAGTAAAATGAAAGAGTTTATTTTTTATTCTCGATCCCATCATGGTCAAGTGATCATGGAAATTTTCCTACTCCAATCTGACTAAACTAAAAACAATCAATTTTTGTTTTGTTTTGCCTGTTTTTAATAGAAAATGCACAATAATTAACAACAGTACTTGGGTCAATCATATAAATGTGCCCAATTCAGCCACGCAGACATATTCCCTGCAATTCCTGACAGTTTGAAGGCATTCATGAATACTATAAGAAAACCAAAGGCACAAAAGCATCTATGCATAGAAAAGAGCGAGAAGTCTATGAATAATAAAACAAAGACATAACCATATATATTATTAAACAAACAGACCACTTATAATGCTTAGAAGCAAAAATAAAAGCACATGAAAGCACCAAAACAGAGAGAGTAAAAGAGTGACTTAAACACTATTTTGGGCTATGACAGCATGTCTGATCATCCAGCAACCACAGTTTGGTTTAGAGAAATGCTAAATCATTTGTATGAGTTCTGGGGGCTTATTAATCTAGCTCTCAAGGAGGACACTAAGGCGTTGGAGAGACATAATCCATTATCTCTTCCCAGGTGGAAGCAAAAAAACACCTTACACAGGAGGTGTCTGGGAAGCATCCTGGTCAAATGCCCAAACCACCCCAACTGGCTCCTTTTTGATGAGAAGTGGTAAAAGCTCTACTCTGAGTCCATCCCATATGAGCGAGCCCCTCACCCCCTCTAGAGCTCCAGCACCCTTCAGTGGAAGCTCATTTCCTTCGCTTTTTCCCACAGTACCTAAAATTGTAATCTTTTGAACACCAGTCACAGTCTTAGGTTCTTCCTTAATAAATGTGAAGTAAACGTGTACAATTTTTCTATAGAAAGTCTATTTAGTTTGTCACAAGTGTTCTTCAGTGTTAATTTATAAAATATAATCACAGTATTGGTGAAACAAATTGCAATTATTGTCCTTCAAATCCTTCAGCCCCATTTATTCTACTCTGTATTTATCCCAGTCAGCTCATCCTGCATTTATCTGCCTTCCAGCAGCTCACTTGCAATGCAACGCCACCAACAACCAGCAGCAGGACTGCAGTACATGCAAATAGGACAATTACTGCTGCTGATTGAGTTACAGGGTTCTGTTACCAAAAGTGGGAATTAGATGCAAATGGATCCAAAATCTGATAAACATTTAATCAATAAAGATTTAAATGTGCAAATGTAACATCTGCTGAATCGTAATTGCTTAGTGCTCCTGACACAAACGTGTGTCAGGGCTGAGTTCAAAGTATAGAGAGTTAGAACAACTAATCCAATCAGATCTCAACATAAGAGCACTGCATTCATATTTCAGTGTATCTTAGAATCACATTCATACTGTTGCCAGCAATGAGAAGCCTGTCTGTGCAATGAGTGTGTGTCTGTGTGTGTCTGTGTGTGTAGACGCAGCAGGAGGCGAGCACACCGTGACCTGAGGTATGACAAGGAAAGCAATGACATTTAGCAGGTGGGAAGAGAGAAAGAAGGCAACCCAACATATAGTGTCGCTCTACTCCACACTTTCTCCTCTGCTGTCCTCATCTTCTAGCTCTATATGTTGACACTGTATTCATAATTAATGATGCATTCTTCCTCGGCTCAATTAGTTGGCCTTTAGCTGACCTTTAGGTCAAGTGAGAAGGAAAGGGAAATGAGGTGAGTGCGTGTCCATACTTGTATGTATGTGTGCATGCATTTGCATAGAACAGCTATGTAAATATCTTTGTGTCTGCATCAAGCAAGACAAAGTTATCATGTAAAAGTTTAGTTTCACCACGCTACCTGAATACTGGGTATTCAGTTGTGAAACAGCTTTCTGCTATACACAGCGCTCATTTTTTATTTAGCTAATATATGTTACACTGCCACTGATGTCATGAGAAATGCTTTCCATCTTATTAATAAAAAGAAGCACAAAAGGACAGATACAGCACGTGTAGTTTTCACAAACCAGCCATCACAAATGGGAGATGCACACAAATGCCAATTAGAAAAATGCTTATTTTAAATTAAAGAGAACTTTAACCAATCATGGCATGCGTGGTCAGGACTGTCAGTGGTGTGAGTCAGTTATTATGGAGATGCTGCTCAGTACAACAAAATAGGTCAAGGAATAACCAAAATCCAGAATGATGTCTCAGGGAAACAAGTAAAATATTATTATAGGGTCTGCCTTACAATATAAAGCTCCTTGAGGCGACTGTTGTTGTGATTTACTGAATTGAACTGAATGAAGGTTTTTGTAAAGCACACTATACTCAGATATTACCAGTGTTGTTGATTGGAAAAAAGCCACAACTCATTTCCAATGCTGCAGAAGGGTTACACAGACTCGCTGAAAGAAAGGTGAGCTGTAGTGGGTCATCTCACCTCTGTGATGGTTTGTGTTGGCATTTCAGCCAATGGTGTCAACATTGATGGAATTATGTACAAAGAAAAGCACCGTCAGATTTTGATCCATCATTCAATTTTTCCAGATGACAGTTAACTCAAAAATACTGGCAACTGAATAAAGACTACCTGGAGAGAAAAAACACACAATAGAACACTATCGGCTCTACAGAGCCGGGTGTGAACATTATTGAAGCATTGTGGGATCATCCTGACAGAGAATGGATCAAAAAGTAGACAACATCCAAAGAAGAGCTTTGAATGTCCTTCAAAAAGCCTGGAGAAGTACTACTCAAAGAAATTACAAAAAAGCTTTTTTACCCTCTGTACTCTTGCCTTTTAGCAAAATGACTGATATGGTGATGATCAGATTTTATGAAGGTGTTTCTAAACATGAAGAGTTTAAATTGATGAAGTTATACAAGCAAACAGTTCAAGGAGCTGGCATAAAGAAGTTTCAGAAAAAAAGGGTTGTTAATTCTACTCTTGGTATAAACTGCAAGCTAATGGCTAAGTGTAAGGAAAAGACATGAGACTGAATGTGGCTCACCATCCAGCACTTAAAAATCCCCACTGTCTATGTATATATTATCTATAGTGATAAACACATACCTGTGATGCTGCCAAATATGAGACTGTCAGATGTGGGATTTGCAGTCATGTCTGGCACCATCATGGGTTGTGTACAGTTAGAAGTCATTGGAAATAAAGGCACATGCCTAGTGCCTAATAAAGATGGAGTCTGACATCGGTGTTAGGGATCCAGTGATAAAAGAAACCCCATCGAATTCTGCTGACCCTGAACTCAAAGAAACCGATGTGAACCCCTGGCCGTATTTAAGGGACCATTTCGGCTTCAAGTCCAAGAAAGGCAACAGCTTTATTATGCAGTGTAAGCTGTGTTTGCCCAGAGAGACCGAGTTAGCAGCTTTTAAAAATTCCACATTAAACCTGCGCAAGCATGTAGAGGTAAGTTAAATAAAACTTGTACCGTTATGGTAGGAAAAAGGCTATGCTCAAATTAATCACATTAAGTCGAGACATCTGTGAAGAACACAGCTAACGTTGGTTGGTACTAGCAACTTACTGTGATCGGGCACGTTGTTGTCCAACTTACTTTTTTTTTACTGGGTTGGTAAATTGCCAAAAGAAAACGTGTTTACTTACGTTTTTCCTGTTTGTTAATAATAATAACTTATTTTAAAAAACAGTTAAATTAAAGACAGAAGTGGCTACTTTCTTACTTAACCCACATATGTTCACTGTTCACACTGCAGGCAAAAGAATAACAGAGCGCTCACTTGCCTTAGATTAGTCAAAGACAGCTGACTTTTGTTACTTGTTAATTAACACTTGCAACCTCTGTTACTGTCAAATAAAATAAAAAAAACACGAGGTATAATGGTATAATTTACCAGCGGTAGCTATGTATTAGGGACTTATCGGGGAAAATATTTTATGTAAAATTTGGTGTGTTTAATGAAAACAAAATTGATTTATATGCTGATTGTTTAAAAATTTGTTAACAGAGAAAACATCCATCCAAGCTGAAGGCCTTCAGTGACTTTATAGCGACGCGGAAGCGAGCCCTGGAGCAACTAGAACCCCCAAGAAAGCACGCAAAAATCAGTGATGTGGTGGCATTGGGTGCAAACAGACGAGTATCACAGGCAAAGGTTGACAAGCTCATGATTAATTTCATTTGTGAAGGTCTTCATCCATTTACTGTGGTTGAACAACCTTCTTTTAAAGAACTTTTGTTGGCACTGAATCCTCAATGCAAAGTCATTTCCAGACCCACTCTCAGGACCACAATAGAGGGAGCTGCCAATCAGATGAAAAAAACTTTGATGTTGCACCTCAGTAAAGTAAGCCATGTTGCCACCACTACAGATTGTTGGACAGCACACCAGCAAAGTTTCATAGGAGTCACCGCTCATTGGATAGATGAGGAAACCTTGGAGAGGAGATCTGCTGCCTTCCTTGCCAGAGGTTGAAAGGGTCCCACACCTTTGATGTCCTAGCTGGTGCCCTTGATGGCATTCATTGTTAATACAGAATATGTGAAAAGTAGTAAGAACGAGAACAGACAGTGGCTCGAACTTTATTAAAGTATTCAGTGTGTTTGGTGAACAAAGTCAGCCTGAGGAAGCGGAGTCAGAGTCAGATCAAGACTCTTCTGAAGAGACCAAAGCAGACTACCTGGACACATTCACCATCCTGGAGCAAGATGGC